TCAACCTGAGGAAAATGGACCAGAGGAGCAATAAGGGAAATGAAGCATAGAATAAGTAAAGAGTTAGTACAGGAATATCTGGTTAAATGAATTTAAGTTTCCAGGACCAGATGAACTACATCCAAGGATATTAAAAGAACTGGCAAATGTAATCTCAGAGCCACTGGCAATAATCTCTGAGAACTCCTGGAGAACAGGAGAAGTCCCAGCAGACTGGAGGAGGGCAAACATTGAGTCCATCTTCAAAAAGGGGAAAAAAGAGGATCCCAACAATTATCGCCCAGTTAGTCTGACATCAATACTGGGAAAGATTCTACAGCAGCTCATTAAATACAGATTCTGTGAACATTTAGAAGGGAATGCTATAATCACAAAAAGTCAACATGGGATTCTGAAAAACAAGTCATGCAAGACTAATGTGATCTCTCTCTCTCTCTCGGATAAAATTACAAGCTTGGTAGATGAAGGGAATGCTGTACATATAGCATATCTTGATTTCAGTAAGGCCTTTCTTTACCAAGGTCCCCCACAATATTCTTGCAAACAAACTAGTACAGCTGTTTGGTGGATTAATAATTGGTTGACTGACCCAAACCCAAAGGGTGCTCAGCAATGGCTCCTCTTCATCCTGGAGAGAAGTGACCAGTGGGGTGCGACAGGGTTCTGCCCTGGGCCCAGTGCTATTCAACATCTTTATCAATGACTTGGATGAAAGAATATGAGGGCATGCTTATCAAATTTGCAGATGACACAAAATTAGGAGTAGCTAATACTCCAGAAGAGAGGATCAAAATTCAAAATGACCTTAATAGATTAGAAAGCTGAGCCAAAACAAAATATACTTCAACATGGAGAAATGTAATGTAGGTTCACTTAGGCAGTGAAAATGAAATGCATGGATATGGATGGGGGACACCTGGCTTAACAAGACTACATGTGAATGGGATCTAGGAGTCCTAGCAGACCACAAGTTGAACATGAGTCAACAGTGTGATGTGGCAGCTAAAATGGCCAATGCAAGTCTAGGCTGCATCAATAAAAGTATAGTATCTAGATCAAGGAAGTAACAGTGCCACTCTGTTCTGTTTTGGTCAGGCCTCACCTGGAATACTGTGTCCAGTTCTGGTCACCACAATTCAAAAAGGATGTTGAGAAGCTGGAGCATGTCCAGAGGAGGGTAACCAAAACAGTGAAGGGTCTGCAAACCATGCTTCATGAGGAGAGACTTAGGGAGCTGGGTATGCTTAGCCTGGAGAACAGATGGTTAAGAGGTGATATGATAGCCCTGTTTAAATATTTGAAGGGATGTCATATTGAGGAGGGAGCAACTTGTTTTCTGCTGCTCTAGAGACTAGAACACGGAACAATGTTTGCAGGCTACAGGAAAAGAGATTCCACCTCAACATTAGGAGGAACTTCCTGACAGTGAGAGCTGTTCAACAGTGGAACACATTCCCTTGGAGTATGGTGGAATGTACAATTTTGGAGGTCTTTAAACAGAGGCTGAATGGCCACCTGTTGGGGGTGCTTTGATTGTGAGTTTCTGCATGGCAGGGGGTTGGACTGGATGGCCCTTGTGGTTTCTTCCAACTCTAGGATTCTAGGATGAACAGGCACATGTGGCTATTTTTAAATATCTCCTAAATACTTATCCCACGAGCATCCTTTTTTTTCCGAAGAAGAACTTTATAAACTTGTATGATGATGATGATGATGATGATGATGATGATAATAATAAATTTTATTTTTACCCCGCCCCTCTGACGAACAATTGAGGCAGCTTACAGTAGTTAAAATTTGTACAACATATTAAAATACAATACAAAGTCCCCAAACCCTCCCATCCCTTAAAAATAAATTAAACTAGTGACAGCTGCCCTCCTCAAATGATGTGATTAAGCACACACACACACACTTTGGAATATGCACACCCAGAATTACCCTGTAGTATTAGAGAGGTTTAAACACAGCAGACTATTCTTGGCTATTTATTTGCATTTCAGTGAAGATGGTATAAGCCCTGGTTTTGTCACTTTTAGTGACTTTGCAGTTTATATGGATCCATGTTAGAAGAAAAACAAAGTGGACTATTTGAGTAGAACTGAACATTTCTTTTCATAGTCTCATTCTTGATGAGAATGTGGTTAATTATTTTGGTTTTGCTTTTATATTGTTTCACATAAATTTAGTATTTCATGCACGTATTTTTATATATCCCTGTAAGTATTAGAAGTATTAGAAACTTCTTTTCTTGGTTTTTAAAACTCTAAATTTGCATTCCATTTTTTTAAAAAAAATCTATTTCTTGACTCATCAATTTCAATTCTCTGTCTTGTTTTTATTTATAGTTAACTGCTTGTGTCCATGGGTCAGCTTCATTGCTATATCCAATGTATTGGCAACACATCTACATCCCAGTCCTCCCTCCACATCTTTTGGACTACTGCTGGTAAGATGACAAATATATGTTATTATTTCCCTCTTTGATAAGTGGGCTAACAACTAGCTGTTCTATTTCATGAGTTTCTTAGGATGATTCCCAAACTGTAAGCAGAATCCAGTCCTACTACTGTAGGCCCAAATTGAAAGTATTATGCATTTAGCTTAGCTATACGAAACATTAAAGCATATGTCTAAAATAAAGCATATTTTTACTGCTCCAGTGCAAGACTAAGACATGAAACACAGCCTTTCCCAGTACCAATGAATTCAGCATAAAAAGTTAGCTGGAGTGTGTGTCCAGAGGGGTGGGGAGAATTCTGCCTATATGAAGCAACCACAAATGGCAGGGCCTTTTTAGGATTCTCTTCTGGTACAGGTTCTAGATTTTTCCAATGCTGTTGTCATTCAGGTGACCTTTAAAGGTATATTTATTTGTGCAGTCTTTTAAGACATAGGCAAGTGTTCATGTGGACTTTTAAAAAGAGTAATCTAAGTTGAATGGAAGGGAGTAACTATTTTAAAACAAATAGATTGGATACAGAATGTCTCTCCAGTGGAATTTCACAATTTTAGCCAGTTCCTTCCTGCTTTCATCTCCCATGCATTCAAAGAAAATCATTTAATCTTTTGTGGAATAGATTTCTAAGGGGGCTTAATGGGAAACAAATGAGAAACAAAATTAACTGCAAAAACATCCTCCTTTCCTCTATTGCATTATGAGCAAATTTCCAGTCAGTGGCTGTCTTGGTCCAGACCTTTGTAATGAATATTTCCCAGCAAACCTGTAGACTCATTCTACACGAGCTACTACTATATATTATTGTTGGTGGTGTGGGCTTTCAAGTTGTTTCTGATTTATGGTGACTCTAAGGTGAACCTATCACAGGGTTTTCTCGAGCTGAAAGTGTGTGACTCGCCTAAGGTCACCCAGTGGGTTTCCATGGCCAAGCAGGGAATTGAACTCTGATCTCCAGAGTCATAGTCCAGTGCTCAAACCACTATACCATGCTGGACCTATTATATGGGGGCATGCAGACGGGTAGCCATGGGCCGCCCTGGGAAATGGAGGATTGGGGCCGGGGTTACCCCACACCTCAGCCCCAATCCATCCTTTTCCCAGTCCTGAAAGGAGCGATAAAATGCTGCTCCTTCCAGAGCTGGCAAATACGGCACCTGAAGAGCTGCTGCACGGCTCTTTTGCTCCTCTTCCGGCGCACCGTGTAAAAACGCTGCGCTGTGATGACGTCTTCGGGAAGGGGTTGGGGCGCCTGGCGTGTGGCTGCCCCTCCCCTTCCCTGCCTTCAAGATGGCACAAAGCGCCATCTGTAGAGGCCCATATGTTATTCCTGTTAGTAACAGTAGTAATAGGAAGAGTAACTTTACTAACTTATAGAACATTACAAAGTACAGAATCATTTGTACACCTTTCCACTCTTTTTCATTCAAATAATGCTTATCATTATTCCACTTTACTGTTAGGAAGTGAGAATGTCTTTCCTAATCCCACTGAATAAGAAATCAGTTTAGCCGGGATTAATACCTGAGTCTCAATTCAAGGCTTTAATCAGTTGCCCAGTAACTATAACATTTTGTGATGTGACTACATCACTATTTTAATTGTGAATATCTTTTTAAAACCAGCAAAGCTAACTACCATATAAACTGGAGCAGATTTTATGCACAAGGTGGCATCTTCCATACCATTCACCATTAAAATTTCCAAAGTAGAAGGAATATGCCACTACATGAAAAAAAGGGGAAAACCCACAGCACATTTTTGGTACTGTTATGAGTAGTAATATGTATTTAGCAGTATGTCACTCTGGAACTCATGTATGATTTTAAAGATGCCATGACTCTCTGTCAGGTTTACTGAAAAGATTCAATACTAAAGTGGTGCGAAGAAAAGTTTTGCTTCCAGAATTGTCTGAATTGTAAGAGAACCTTGTTGTAGCTCAGTTTAGTCTGTCTCTGTCTGCTTCAACCAGCAGCCTCATGCTGGTTTGTGATACTGTATTGCTGTGTCTCAGGTGAACCTGGTGTTAGGTCATTGATGCCTACGATGCATGTCATGAATGAGGGACATAAATTGGTCCCAGTACACATTCCCTATATTGCAAGTCATTCCCTTGTTGAATCCCTCCTGTGACCCTTGTATTTTGCTGGCCACGTGCATCTGAGCACAAAAGACTGTGCTATGACAGGTAATCAATACCATCAAAATGGGCACCTGTTTGGGAAAACATAGGGCAAGCTGCATGAGATGTGAACTTTAGAAAGTAATATTTTTTTAAGAAAACAAAGAATATGGTGGAGAAATCTACTAGCCTTGGTTTCAAGTCATTTTGACCATTCTATAGCTGTTGAAAAAACATGAATGCAGTCAAGAGTGAGCTATGTTCTCCCATGAGACAGAAATTCTTTAAAGGGATGCTGAGGAACTTTTGGTGATTAATCAATGAAAGAACGCAAAGTTTTCAGTAATAGAGTATATTGTAGCTGTTTTGTGAATTCTTTTGGGATACCCAGCCCCAGCTAGATTTGCATCCCATTGGGTGTTGATGAACAAATCATTAGCATTGCCACATTTCAGAAAGAGACTGTATGCCATATACTGGCATACTCTAGCCAGAATACTTGCCGTTTCATAGAAGGTTTTTGGAATTAAAAATGGTTCAGTTCTATAGCTTAGAACAGGGGTAGGCAACCTTTCCCCTTTAAGGGCCAAGGGACTTCAGCTCCCAGAAGCCTCAGCCATGTTGGCCAATAGTCCCATGTTGGCCAATAGCTCCTGGGATTCTGGGAGCTGAAGTCCCTCGGCCCTTAAAGGGGAAAGGTTGCCTACCACTGGCTTAGAATGTATCATTCATGATTTGGTAATGGCTCTGAATTAAAAAAAAAAAATTTAAGCTGTCAGCACATTGCAAGGGCTACGTCAAATACAAATGTTTGGGAAAAGTATTATTTGTAAACCAACTGCATACTAACCAAATTTTATTTGTTTTGTTTAAAGTACATGACCAACCTTTTCTTTCTTTCTGTTGATCAAGTCCAGTTTGTTTTTGTTTTTGTGCTTTGTTTTTTGTTGTTCTACAAAATTTAGCAGAGGAATTTTATTTCCTTGCATAAGGATATATAAAAGGCACAGAGCAGTGTCTCTCTATATAATCATTTTGTGAGCTAAATCCAATACTGCATTCATTTTAGCAAGAGTGTTTTCTTCCTCTATGCCCTGAAGTCCTCCATGGTACTGAAAACTTGCTCTGTGGAGCTTCTTTCTTTCCCAGAAATATTCTATCGATCTTGTCTTGTTTGATAATATTAGTAGGAAAAACTGTTTATGAAGGAGTACACTAATGGCAACTCTAATGCCAGTTTGTTTAGATATAAACAACTCCACCGTGGGAAGGGGTAGGGTTTCAGTAAAAATCTTGAGTTGGATGTGGGATATCCTGACTTTTTAAGTAACTAACAAAAACTGAAAGAAGCCAAGGATGGGCTGGTCTGTGCCACTGCCTTAATCACTTTCTGCTCTTACTACATCCAGATGGTCTTTTTGAAGTCTTTTCTGTCATTCTTCTTTTAAACTTCTTCAAGAGGCTGGCCAAATAAGTGCTTCTGTTCTTGGTATGAGTCACCAGAATGTGGGTTCTTCACAGAGTTTCGTGCAAGGCTGGGTAATTATAACTCTTCAGATGTGGAACTGTAGCTCCCATGGTCCCTCAGCACTGACTAGGGCTTATGGAAGCTACTGGGCTAGAGCTGCCCACCTGATCTATTAAGGTGTCATAATTGGTTGACCTTTGTCTCATCCTGCCCTCTGTCTGTAGAGGACAGGATTATGACCTTGGGTTGTTGAGATGAGTATTCACTCCATTCCATCATGGTGCATAGGCAGCGATTCAGGCATATTTAGAAGAGTATTAGAGAAGCATTTGATCTCTATAATACACAAAATGCTGATACTTTTGCTCAAATCCCAATTTTATGTTTCACAGACCATTAATTTTATATTTCAGGTGACTATTAACCAATTCTTTTACACCTAAATCAAATCACTGATGTAAGCATAACTGCTGTAGGTGCAGACTGTGTTGTCCTCTCAGTATAGTTAATATTTTAGAACAGCAGGGAGAAACTTGTGTTCCTCAAACTGATTTCATGTGGCTTGCAGCCTAGTTTATATCTCCCAGGCAGTCAGTTCAGGTTTGCATAAGAGTGATATATCTCTTCCCCACAGGCTGATAGGCAGCAAAAAATATGAAAATAGTGAAAGGGATAGTAGAGAGAAGGAGAGGGGTGGGTTGGTGGACTAGTCTGCTTGTGGCTTCATGCACTGTTGTTTCAGCCCTGTGCTTTGCTAGCATACATTCCCTGTCAGAAAATTGCCAAGGGAATGTAATCCCCAACAGAAAGGTTTGCCTGGTTCTGCTTTACAGCATTCACAGCATCTTCGCTATATTCTCCCAGTCTTTACAACAGTTCTGTGAGATAAATGGACCAATATATTGACTAGAATGCTAAGAACTGGATTTTGTATCTGGGACTGTCATCTCTCAGCATTCAGATGTAGATCCCAATGAATTCATTGGGTTCAGTCTTAGGTTAATAGTGTGTAGGATTTCAACATTAACCATTATAATAGTGCCTCCATTATGAGCTCAATGATGATGATGATGATGATGATGATGATGATTTATATCCCACCCCTCTGAAACCAGTCGGGGTGGCTCACAATATTAAAATACACTATATCCGAACCCTATTCCCTCCCTCCCCTTAAAACAATATTAAATCATATTATGAGTTAGAAACTGTCATGTCTTAGTGGCATTGCACAACTGGCAAATACGATAAAGAAAGTTACCTCTTCCTAACTATTTATTGTATTTTTATTACATGTAATTGATTATATATGTGGGTTTTTAATTTCATTTCAGTGCACCAATGCCATACTTGATTGGAGTTCACTTCAGCCTCATGGAGGTGAGTCAAATATCCCATTTCATTTGGCTGTCATTTATTTGTCCATAGAATAAATGGTCTGATATCCTACCAGTTGTTCCTTCCTCCTGAAAAGTATGTAAAGTTAAAAACAAAGCCTTCTTCAGGGGAAAAGAAGGTACTCCTGGCATTGCCAGAGATTTGATGGGAGGGATAAAAGTTGTGCTCTGAATCTGCAGGTCAGCATGAATGGGTATGGGTGAATAGGTAAGTACACATATGGGCCCAGGCTTACTCCCAAATTCTGCCAAATGTGTTGATACCCAGCTGCCATCTTTTTCAGTTACTTCTACAGTGAGTCATGAGAGTACTTTAAGATGGTGCTGGAGAAACCTGCCATAAGTGGTACCACCTGGGATAACATAGTTCAGCTAACTAGAAATCCTGCCCAGCACTGCTTCAGTTATTCTTCCCTGTTCCTTGCTGTGGACATGTATGGAGCACTGACTATATGCAGATCATATGAGCTTTTTGTTTATGATATGAATGGTTCTACCCATTACACTCTGCTTCACTTGGAGTTGAACAGGCCCATAAGCCTTCTGGCTGTGTGTTTTAACAAATCAGTATTGCTGTGAAGGTAGAAATGTAAGAGGAACCCTTCTTAGTCAGGCCAGATGTCTTTTGGGTTAAGCAGGTGCTTTTTAGGAAGCTCACATGCAAGACAAGAAGGCAATAGGTATAAAGTTGCCTCCTAGCAGCTATTATCTGGTGGTATCTTGTGTCTGATTATAGAAGTTCCATTTAGTAATGGTGGCAAATTACTATTCATAGCCTGAAATATGTCTAGGATCTCATTCTCCAGTGGTGATTTCCATCAATTAATTAAACATTGGTAAAAATAATTTGATAGTCCTTAGGACAAAATGCTGACTGTGAAAATACTCTCCTTTTTTCGTGTCTTTACCTCACTGAATTCCCTATTTTACCATGTTAAAAAAGTAAGCAATGCATTAAAATGTGTGTCCCTATTTTGTTTCCTTGTACAGAGGGTGAAAAGTAAATCACTTG